TGAATATATGGCAAAAGAGACATTATTGACATTAATTAAATTGTCCAATATATATATATATATATATATATATATATCTTCCTGATAAGATTCTCGACATAATCACGTCGTCCCTCCATCTGGTTTAGCCGTGCAATTGCGAATTACTAATTAGGAAGCAAATTTCACGAAGCAATGATACTTCAACTTGCAAAACAAGTATATTCTCTTTTTTTCCTATAATATTATCTTTCAAATCTTTAATATAAAATATAATTTGTACTACAAACTAGATTTTATATTAAAGATCGGATGTTGTATTATGTTCAATGCTTATAATTATATCCTACTTCAAGGCATTGTTTTATTAGAAAATAAAATAAAATTCAAATATATATACACAGACACACACACTACGTTTGGGTATCAATAAATTTACATTATATTACACTACCTCCGGTCCTAATTATAAGACATCATTTGTAGACTATAAACAAGATCTTATAATTAGGACAGTACTTGTTATGTTGACCAAGATTTATTTATCAATAAGTATCATTCGAATATGTTAACTACACAAACAGATATACTCCTTATATCCTTAATATAGAACCTATTTAACTAATTTGATTAGATTAAAGAAGTTAGGTAAGTTAATTAATTATAAGAAATATGATATGTTTTTCCTAAAACACCATAGTCATCTTCTTTAATATCCTCCCTTCCTCTTTTATTTGATTATGGTTGAAGAAGTATCGATATGGATAATTTAGAAAAAAATGATAAATATGAGAAATAGGTCTTATATTTAATATTAAAATCAACTCAACAATTAGGTTCTATATTAAGAATCGGAAGAGTATTAACTAGACAGACATAGGTTTAATAGAAGGTTCAACGGTAGTTTCTTGCTTTATTTTGCGATCAAAACAGTTGTGTTCTATATGTACTCATATAGATGATCTAGGCTGCATGAATCTGGCATCGATCGATAATATGTAATACTACCTCTGGTTCTTAATATAAGACCTTGTTTGACTTTTATTTTGATTCTAAATATAAGACCCCAATCCACTTTGTCTCTCATATTTATGTTTTTTTTAAAAAAAAAGTTATTCTAATAATAATAATTATTGCCAATACACTTGATTAGCAATGATATTTTAGGAAAGACAATACATATTCATAACAAAATAACTAATTTAATTTATTTTCTTAATTTTCTCAAATTAGTCAACCAGCTCTTATAATTAGGACCGGAGGTAGTATTAAAAGAATGGTGCATGTGTCTTGTCTCTGTACACCAAAAAGAAGAAGAAGAAGAATGATGCATGTGTTTTAGTTTGCCTATATAATATGTTTAATAATGCGAGGTTTTGTGTAATTCTAATCAGATAGATGATCTATATTGTTGATTAAAAAAAAATCAGATGATCTATATATCTTGGTTATGAGCTGTACGCGGTTAGTTCAAGCTGATTAAGAAAGATTTATTGGTCAAAAAATTTTAAAAAAATAATATTCACATGTGACAGGCCAAAACTAAGAAATATTTATTTATGTTCCACCAATCGTCCCTTACCGATTTCATCCATCCAAATCCAATGGACAATCCCTTGAGTTGAGTTGACCCTGTGCCCCATGCCATGTGTATCTTTATTACCGGGAACTAGCAGATTACACATGCTCATGCTAAATTTTTTTTCCCGAAAAAAATATTCACACACAACAAGTCAAACTAATAAGAAATCTGTTGTAAAAAATTTGGTTAATTAAAATCCCCCAGCATGGTTAAAAAAAAAAAAACTAGGTATTGCGCCCTCAATGTTTTCTTTCATTTTGTTGCTTCCTTTTCTTTTTTCTCTTTGCCGGCTCCTTTTCACAATCTTCGTCTTCCCTTTTTTCACTCTGCTGTGTTCTAGACTCGTGGCTCTGATGCTTCAGTATCGTCCATAACATACAAAACACATTAATCCATTCGATAAGGGTCATATGAAGCGTATATATTATTTATGTTTAGGTTTTAATTAACCATTAAATATGAAATTCTGTTGAATGTTGTATTGTGCAATACTCCTCCGGTTCTTAATATAGGACCTAATTACTAAGTTAATCGTAGTCCTAAATATAAGACCTATTTCTCATATTTATTTTTTTCCTAAATTACCCCTATAGATATTCCTTCAACCATAATCAAGTAAGTAAAGGGTGAAGAATATTAAGAAAGATTATTATAGTGTTTTAGGAAAAACATATCATATTTCTTATAATTAACTAATTTACTTAAATTTTTAATCTAATCAAATTAGTTAAATAAATCTTATATTAAGGATTGGAAGAATAATATAGATTGAAGAGTAAACCACAATTCTGTTGAATGGTGTGTTGCATTGGTGAATTCTAAAGAGCTGCATGATTATGATTGATTGATTCTAATACTTATTAGTTTTTTATAAGGAAGAGTTGAGGCAGCAATGGTTTTTTAAACATAAGAAATCAGAATGAATGAGTGGAGCGTTTAAATTTGAAAAAAAAAATAAAAATCAGGCTGATGCTGCTAGAAAATTTGGGGGTTGGGCTTCTTTTTGGGGATTTGAAGTGTGGAAAGCCTGAGGAAAGCGGCCTCATTGCCGACGGGGAAGGAGTGGCTTCAGCCTCACAGTGCAAGATCCATGAGGATGAATTTAACAATGATGAAATGGACAGTGCTTTTTTCTTTTTTGTTTTTAATAGAAGGAGGTTTCATTGATAAAAGGTCCGAATCCAAACAATTAAAAAAGTAACTTATTGTTAATTTGACTTATGAAAAAATAAAATTAGGTAAAAACCAAATTGGATAAGCTGAATTGTGTTTGGATTGAAGTTTAAAAAATTAGTTTGAAAAAGCGAGATTGGTAAAAAGTTATTTGGATTATGGTTGAATAAAAGTAAATTTAGTTGTAAAATGACTAAAATAGGTATGAGTTTTAATAAATAATGAAACATGATTAAAAATTAGTTTGAAAAAGCGAGATTGGTAAAAAGTTATTTGGATTATGGTAGAGTAAAAGTAAATTTAGTTGTAAAATAACCAAAATGGGTATGAGTTTTAATAAATAATGAAACATGATTAAAAATAATAATTTCACATAATATAATGAAAGTAAAATAATTTAATATGAAGATATCAAATTTAATGAGTGAATTAAATTTCAAAACTTTAAAGAAATCATAAGAAATATTTATAATAAAAAATTTATTTTGATTCTAAATATAATACCTTAATCCATTTTCTCTTAATTTATAATTTTTTAAAATATCTCTATTAGCTATATATAACTTGAGAGAAAGCAAGACATATTTATTACAAATGAGTAATTTAATTTATTTTTTTATTATTTTTTATTTTTTTATATATTTTTTTTGGATAAAGCGCTAATTTTATTCAAAAAGTAAATGAAAATTTTACGTGAATAAATTAGGCAATCACATTCTATTACTTTTATCATAAATTATCAGTCATTTTTATTATGATATTTCATTCTCACGTGGTGTGTGTTTTTGCAACTGCACATTTTTTTATTAAAAAAGAATGCTAATAAAAATGCATCCTGGCGTTTTGGCTTAACACCCAAGCCCTTCATGCGTTTTGTTTTGTTTAGCTCCGATCTCTCCAACACCAGTGACCTTAAATTAGGGATGACTAAACTCAGAGAAAAATAAAGCATGACACATCACAACAGTATATAAGCTCCAATCACTGATCCAATAAGCCAGATCCAGTAGCTTCTCCTGCAATGTACGTTTACCAAGCAATTCTCCAATCAGACTTGTAGCAAAAATAAGCTAATTTTCAGCCCATAAAAATCCTGCCAAACAGGCTCAAGGAAGTTTGCACAAAGCACTTCCAGTATAAAAAGTGCTAAAGTCAACTGTTAGTGCAAGTAATTTTTATTAAATGCAAAATCATGCAACAAGCAAAAAGCAAGTTACTAAAGCTGACTACAAAAATCCTCTGCCTTCCTGATATGATCAATAAAGGAAATAGTCTCATTGACTAGCTTGTGGCCGTGGACTCTTTCTTTGTTGAAGATAAAATTATTGCGTTCATTCCATAGCATCCAACATGGACAATGCTCTTTACTTGCCACATGAATAGCTTGATTAGACTTATAAATATGTTTCATATAAATCAACACAGAATTTTTCTCTCATATTTCATATTTCGTAAATTATGATTAAAAAACTATTTATAAAAATTATTTATAAATCATTCCAAACAAGTTTGAAAAGAGTTGACTGACATTGTCACGCCACCCATTCCATTCTGAATTCTGCATTCCCTTTTTCTTAAACTATTTTAGCACTAGCTTCTCATCTTTTCATATCAGTCAGAGAGCAAATCAACGTCCTCTAGAGGATATTAATCTTTCTGATATTATTTTCAATATGCCATAACGTAACACTAAACACCGACTTATGACCCGCCTACAACTCGCTCAATTTAACTAAAAAGTGTTTAGTAATTACAAAAAATAAAAATAAAAACACTTTTAAAAAATGTTTTTATACAAGTTGAAACAAAATTACTCACTTTATACGACGTAAAATTACTTTTAAAATCATAATTCTTCCAAACCCCCCGATCTACGAAAAATAATACCTCCAGATATTTAGTTTGTAATACAATTTTTATTATAAACTACTCACTAGTCCTATTTATAAGACATTTCCAGTATATTTCACATAAACAAAAAAAAATCTTAAAATGTATTAACTCTCCCTTAAAATATAACAATTTTTCAACTTTACCCATATTTAATATATACGTCTTTTAAAAAAAATAATTACTTACACTATAATAAATAAAGGACAAAACAGTATATTCACATTAAAAATTTAATAAAATGACTTAAATAAGATCTAAAAAAATCTTCTTTTTGCTCTATAAATAGAACTAGAGAAGTAGATTTTATGTCCAGGAACGAAGTGGCATCATTTTTCTGGGGAAAAAAAATAGTTTGAAAAGGAGGGTAGGAGAGTGTTTGATAAGCTGATATGATTTGAGCTAGTTCCAACTTCCAAACATCACGAAATTGTTATGCACAGCGTTTCCTTTGCAACATAACACACAGGCGTCTCTAGATGCTAATAGCTAAGACAAGTTACAGCGTAGTACACACCACAAACATCTAAATACATCGATTATCAAACTAAACAACCAGTACATTGTTTTCGGGGTCGCCCATCTCCTCGTCGTCACTATCAATGTCGCCTTCGTGGAGCCACTGCTCAAATTCATCAACCTCCCCGTAGTCATGCGTGTATAAACTATCAGAGCTATCGTAGGGCTCGGGCCCAAGTTCCTCTCCATGGCATGCCACGTGCAGCAGAGGCCTGCTTCTGGCCAGGGCATCCACCATATCCTTGTTAACACTTCCCGTCACTCCCAACCATCTCAACCTGGGGAAGTATGGTTTCTTTAGCCATCTAAATGACAGCTGTGTAATGCCCCCGCAGTTGTACAGATCCAGCAACCGCAAGCTGCTTCCATGCCATTTGGCCTCGTCAACCAGCATCGATGCCAATGCCATCACTGAGGTGTCCCCAATTTGAGGGCACTGTCGCATCCGGAGTTCAGATACTGGAATTTGACTCCTTGCCAGCATCAGAACTCCATTATCAGACAGGTTAGGAAGATTGGATAGGTCCAGTTCTCTCAATTCAAGCGGACCAGAGCAATCAAAGAGAGTCGAGATGCATTTATCTGTAAGTCTTTTGCACCCTCTTAGAGACAAAGCATTAAGTGAACGTATAACCCGTGGTCTTAAGTATGAAAGCCCCGTGTCTGTTATATCAGAGCCATCCAGTAGTAGGATTTTTAGTCTGGCAAGAACACCGATGGCTCGGAGGCCTTCATCCCCAAGGCTCCTACAGTCTCTCAGGTCCAGAATTTTAAGATCCTTGTTTGATGCCAAATTCAAGACAGCGTGATTGGTTAATAGATTGCACCATCTTAGGCTCACGTGAGTTAAGGAAAGGGACGTTGCAGAAATATCATGAAAAACTAGATCAGTTAACTGAGTCCCATGAGACACCTTAAGCTTGTATAAGCGACAGCATGAATGCAGGATAGTTTTGAAACCTGTGTCTGTAACACGGCAAAAGCCACCCAGGCATATGCTTTCCATATTTGTGCACTTGTCGGCCATTAAAAGTAAGCCCAAATCATTTACTCTTCGAAAGTAAGTAATTAGGAACTCCTGGCTCCGGACAAGTGACAGATGTTTCAACCTTCCATGTTGATTAATTTGTTGGAGGCCAGCATTGGTTAGGTCAAAGGTGATTCTTGGTTCAATGAGGGGTGCATCTCGAAGGTCCAAATGGGTCAAAAAGACTAGTCCTTTGGATATTGTACCAACCATCGCATCAGTTATATAGTCAACTGAAAGGCATAGCTTCTGAATACTAGGCAATACGTATGATTGGACAGGATTTAGGGACTGATGGGATCCTAAATTTGGGCTAAGCAGTTCAGTCACTGTTACTGAGGATATGTAGCCGATCTCAAGAGATGTGATTTTCTCTGAGGCCATGGCCCAAACTCGGGCAAAATTATGACGCAGGAATAGAGAGACATCAAACATCAGAATCAGTGCCTACCAAAAAAATCACAGTGCACATTAGATATAATTGAACAAACGATAACAGAATGATTTCAATATTGTACACGAGGGGTAAGAGCTTATCTTCAGTAACAAACATACGGAAAATTTTAGCAATGAGCAATTTTATGAATAAACTATTATGATGAAATCCACCATTTGATATTTAATAAATTTTCCCTGCGTCTTGGAATGTCCCCTTGTTCCAGGTAAATATGAAGATTCAAGTAATAATTTTGAATAGAATAGATCTATGGAGAAATAACCCGAGCGAACACAATGAAGAATCCATAGAGTCAACAAAGATAAATACACACAAATTATCTAAAACATTCCCAGGACATGCATTAGTGATCATATACAACAGTATTACTTAACTGAACATCAAACCCAAACATTACAACTACATATACCACAAATGCCTAACAGAATATATCCTAAAAAATTTGTCACATCCAAGCCTTGTTTACCAAAATGATTACACCCAATCACAAGATAATATTTACGTTGAGGAATAATTCTTCTGAACTTCGATAATACTGACGAACAACATTGGGATAAGTCATGGTCGTCAAAGAAAGGTTCAGTTCAATGGAACCAAACTTATAATGTTCATAAAGTCAAGATTTCGTAATCTTATTATTCCACTTATATGAGCATAGAGAAAAAATACAAGTGATAGATGCACATGTCAGTACGTTTCACTGGAGATTAAAAAAAGAAATGATATACTGGATTCAGATTTCAGACCTCAGAAAGTAGGGGCTAATCAAAATATTTTAGCATAGTTAAACTACTTATTAAATTACAAAAATGTGGGAAAACAATGAATTCATACATATCAAAGCTAACTAACGAATTCATACAAATCAAAGCTAACTATTGGCAGATGATGTTGTCATAATTAAAAATTACATAGAGGAAACTATTTATGAAAATTGGGGTTCTCTTGAGTGTCTCATCAACGGGACGCGTGGTTAGTAAAGCTCGGGGAATTAGTGGGCTTTTCACATGACAAGCAAGAATGGAGTGGTATGTGATGATAGAAGATGTTGTCTTAATAACCATTTCACACAAAGGTAACTTCAAAGTTCTTTAAGAATCTTAATAATATATAGCTTTTAACATCCCAAACTACTTTTGAAATTATGCCTTACTTCCAACTGAGAGCAGCCGCTAAGCAACTCCTCCAGATCAGAAATATGAATTGATCTCCCTCTTTTTTCTGCCACTGAACTCAAGTAGAGAGACCTGATGCAAGCAAAGAAGAAGAAATGATAACAGCAGAACCATAAATCGCATTAAATTTACAAACTTTGCAGCGCCATAATCGAAGACCAAATATCATCATGATCAAACAAGCAATCTGCAAGGTTATCTAGCTTCAAATGAAATCGACAGCAAACCTTAGGTCCTTGCATCGGTTCCCAATCTCAGAAAGCAGTTTCCCACTAAAATCAGAACAGTTATGCAGAGAAAGCTCCTGCAAAGATGGTTTAACCAGAAGGTGTATAGCTGAATCATCAAGCCGACCACAATCAACTTTGAGGCTCCTAAGATAGGGATTCGGTGGCAGCAACGGCGTCAGCAAATCCACAGTTGGCGCAATGTCCTGTAAATATACGTATTCCAGTACTAGAAAGATTAGCTTTCTCGGAATTGTTAATCAGAGAAGAAACACCCGAATTTGGGATTTCATAAAAGAACCAAATCCACTAACGGTTTACAGCAACATTTCACGAGAAACAATAAACCCAAGCCCCATTTCCGATCTCGTTCTTTGAGTTCACAACACGCAATAAGTCCAAGAAAGGAAAACAAGATGAGAAATTTAAAAGGACTCACGCAGCGACAAAGGGTTTTAACAAATATCGAAAATCATCGTAGATCCGAAGAAGAGATTACATACAAGGAGGTGGAAATTGGGAAGGAAGGAGAGGATGTGAGAAGCGCAGGACTTGAAGGCGGAGCAGGTGGAGGCGACAGAACAGATAGAAGAGATGTCGAGCTTCGTGAAGATGGTGGCGAGAAGAGCAGAAGGAAGCTGATCCAGACTCATTTCGCTGCCCTCCCCTTTCGCCATTTCCGTCCGTCTCCACGAGGTGATGAGATAACGAACCCGTCTCGACCCGGTGCAGATCGGATGAACCGGAATAAGACAGCAAGTCTCTTTTTCTACTCAGCGGCAGACAGAAGCTCCACAGGATAATAACTATACTCTTTTAGTTTTTAATATAAAGCTTATTTAACTTTTTTTTTACCAGAAATAAGGCTTATTTAACTAATTAAATTAAGAAAGTTAGGTAAGTTAGTTAATAATAAAAAATATAATATGTTTTTTCTAAAACACTATAATCATCTTCCGTAATATCTTTATTCCATCTTCTGCTTGATTATGGTTGAAAGAGATCATAGGGTTAATTTAGAAAAAATGAATAAATATGAGAAATAAGTTTATATTTAGGACTAAAATTAATTCAATAATTAGATCTTGTATTAAAGACCGGAAGAGTAATTATTATATCTGCATGAGCTTAGGAAATAATGAAACCCGAAATACATAATTAAATAGGTAATACTATGTCCTCTCCCAAATACTACTTTCGTTCTTTATTATAAGAGTTTATTTGGTTTTTAATTTTGATCCTAAATATAAGTCACCAATTTATTTTATTGTTTATATTTATTTATTTTAAAGTAATCTTTGTAGTAGTTGTACATGTTAAAAGTTTTATCAAATGATAATTTTAGCTAATATACATGATTAGCAAGAACATTCAAAGAAAGATAATACCTATTTATAACAACTAACTAACTCAACTAATTTCTTTAATCTCTTCAAATTAGTTAACTATATCTTATATTGAGGACATGAGGTAGTATAAGAATTTATTTAACTTTTATTTTAGTTTTAAATATAAACCCTCGATCCATTTATTTCTCATATTTATTTATTTTTAAGATAATTTTTGTAATAATAGTAGTTATAGTCAATATTTTTTTTATTAGCAAAGATATTTAAAAAAACAACACCTATTTATTACAAATAATTAATTTTACTTTTTTTTTAATTTATTAAATTAATCAACTAGTTTTCAATTAAATACTAAAGGTAAGGAAGTGGTCACTATTTTGTTTATTCCATCGTAATAATTGACCTAGATTACTTAGGAAATCAATAGCCCCCACGCACTCAAGAGCCTAAACACAAGATCTGGGCATTAAAAAACCTCATTTTGGATTACGTAAAAGCCTCTAAAATAGTAAAATGTGTTTTTGAGTTGGGTGAGCACATTTTCCCCTGGAGTCATTTGTATGCGTGGTTTCATGTCTCGGTTTCTCAAAAACGAGAAATTTGTCCCATTCGTGCCTTCTAAGTAAATGTGTGTTTCTAGCAATGAACAAAAAACTAGACCGGACACTGAACTGGTCTAGATAGTGGGTCAAGAGTTAATGAGTCAGACCGGGGTCAAACCGATCATATTAAAATAATATAATTTAATTAGCAATGACAATAAAAATAACATTAATTAATAATAATCATTTAACAAAATACAAAAAACAACCAACGTGGTTTAAAGTTTAAATATTTAATTGTACCAAACTACCATTAACAAATATATATCTTCATCACTACAGAAAATCAAAATCATCATTAAATTCATTGGCAGGGCCAGGAATGGAGACATTAATAGTTGGAAGAGGAAAAGTAGAAGGCAACATCATCTTGCAGAGGTGGAGATTCAACAATATTCATATCATCATCACCACCTAAATAAGACAATAATAAAATGTCAATTAAGTGTAAATCAATATTAAAATAAAAATATTTATAACTTCTAAGAAACTAAGATAATAATACCTTCATTATCCCTCCTAGGAGTTGTCAAATTTGAAATGTCTTTATTGTTGAAAACACTTTCAAATGTTGCCACATCTCTATCATCAAACTCTGGAACAGGATCTTCTTCAGTCACCCAAAAGTCCACCAAATCAATGTTTTCATAGTCAATAGGATCATAGCTTGCCTTCTGCTTCTTCAATGTACTCCTGACAAATAAAATTTCAATTAGATGTAAATCCATATCAAAATAAAAGCAGCCATAACTTATAAAATTACCTATGCTTCAATCGCAAGTTATAGTTTGTGAAAACTAAATCATTTAGCCTCTTGTGCTCCAATCTATTTCTTCTTTTTGTATGAATGCATTTAAATAAACTCCAATTCCTTTCACAGCCAGAAGAAGAAGAAGTTTGACTAAGAATGCGCATCACAACACGTTGCAACTCTGGCACTAAACATTCATAATATGTCCACCATTCATCTAAATCATGAAAATATGAAATATAAAATTAGTGAATGACCATCAATATACTATTAACTATTAAATACAAACACTTACAAGGGTCAAGTGTTCTGTGCTGCTTTTTGACATGATGGTCTACTGAAAGATTCTTTAGCTTCACAATAAGTAGTTGCTTGTTTCATTACCACGAAGCCATCAACCTCTTCATCTGAGTAAGACTCCACCACATCAATTAAAGCCATCATTAACTTTGACTTGATCGGGCAGTCTAGAGCATATGTGATTGCAGGATTCAGCAAATATGATGTTGCATGAAGATTGGTCTTTAAATGCTTATCCTATCGAGTTTGAATGATCGTTGTGTACGGCTTATACAGGTCCTTGTTCTTCTTAAACATCTCCTTAATTGTCATTTTTGCCCTTCGCATGCCTTCATAAACATAAGGCAATGAAGGCTTCTCATCTGAATCAATAATTCTCAACAATTTTATAAGAGGAGATACAATTTTCACAACTTGATAACAATCATTCCAAAACCGATTGTCCAATATGATTGCACTGAAATTTTTTCCTGCTTCAGTCTTCAGTCCTTGATAATTTGTGGTCCACAAAGTGTTTATCAACAATTAAAGCCTGCAAGTCATTCTTGTGCATATATATGCTATGCAATGTAATAAATGTGGTAGCAAACCTTGTGGCAGCAGGACGCACAATTTCTTTCCAAGTCGGTCTTTTCCTCAGCCATGATAAGAAAACCATATGATTATATGCAAATACAGTTATCTTTGATGCCTTTGATGTAAGGTCTGACACATGGGCATGCTTGAAAAGTCTTTCAATACAAGATTCAAACAATGTGCAGCACAAGGTGACTAATAAATACTTTTATACTTCTCTTTAATCAATCTACCACATGCTACATAGTTAGCTGCATTGTCAATCACCACATGAATAATATTTTTAGGACCAATCCACTCAATGACTTCACAGAATAGTGTGAATAGAGTTTTGGCATCTTTAACTAGATCTGATGCATCAACAGACTTCACAAATACCATACCATGTATAGAATACACTAAGAAGTTTATCAAAGTACACTGTCTAACATCAGTCCATCCATCAGTTATGAGTGTGCAACCATTGTTTTTCCATTTAGCTCGATGGCTATCAATGAGTAACTGACATTCTTTTCTCTAGTCACTCAACAAGTTGGTTTTAAAATCATAAGCACTAGGAGCTTTAAACCCAGGCCCTATTGAAGCAATGTCATCCACATCTTTTTGAAATAAAAGACAATCAAACGCCTTAAACAGAATGCAGTTTACAATAGCCCATTCAGCAATCAACATTTTCACATTATGCTTTGCTTCTTTAGTTGTTAATGCACTCTCAATGCCAGGTTGGGAATCAGGAGTTGTTCTAGGAGCAAAAAAATTGTCTATGCTCCCAGAAGCTTTCCTCTTTCTCACACTACTTGTGACATTTGGTGATTCAACATAAGTTTCTTCGACTTCCTTTTCTATGCTTTCAATAGTTTTCTTCTTTGACCCTTCTTTTAAAGACTCTGCCATTCTATAATGTACATCATGTAGAACTTTTTTTACAAGCAGCTATTTAACTAACAGTGCCCGTAAGATGTTGCTTCATCATATTTATCTCACCTCCTCTATAACCAATAGTACAAAAAAGACACGTATATATATATATTTTGTGTTCCTTCTTTTTTGTACGCAATATGTGCCCATGCTGGATCAGTTTTGGCACGTAATGAGGATGTGGGTGTGGAGGTTTCGGTAGGGGGATTTGAAGATCCAGTATTAGGAGTCATGTTGTCATTTCCAGAACTTTGGTTATTTGAAATATCTATCACTGCTACTAAAAAAACAAATCAAAAGATTAACACAACATTAATGATTAAACAATCAAGTTATTCAGTTTCAGATTTCATATTGAACAAAGTGGGGAACCGTCCATAGTTTTAAAACCGAAAACATATTCAAACTTCACTACTTCAGTATATAACTATATACAATGACCACAATTTTAAACCAAACGCAGTTCACAATTTTGAAACCAAACAAGTAATTCTAAATTAGAGTATCAAATTATTCCAGAGTACCAAATTAATGAAATTATTCCTTCGTGCAAACCAAACATAGAATATCCTCAAGTAGATACAAATCCATGGAATCCATTGGGATTTCAAAATACAATTAATTTTCACAAAATATCCTCAAGTAGAAGCAGAATTTAGATTCCAAAATGGCAAAATCAAACGAGAAAAATAATAGATGGTAGAGATTATCACCGTCACTTCCAAGTTCAAACGAAAAAAGGCGAGTTTGCTGAGAGTGGCCAAGAGCAGAGACTGAGAGTTCAAACGAAAATTGGGAGTCTGGACTTGGGAGAACTGAGATCGGCGAGCACTCAGCCACTCACTAACAACTTAGATTGGTGACGACAGGGCAGGGAGGTTCAGGTGAGGTGCGGGCAAGGCGAGGAGCTTCAGGCGAGGCGACGACAAGGCACCAAGTAGCTTCAGGCGAGGCAGTGGACAATGGTTGACAACCACACCAAGAGTGAGGGCAGTCAAGAGTGCAAGCTTCAGCGAGCTGGGAGATTCAGTGAGCACACGGTGGCTGCGAGGGCGACCGAGGACGAGATGGAGATTGGAGATCGAATGAGGAAGAAGGAGACAGGGGTGCGGGGTCGAGCGAGGCTGCGAGGGCGAGCCAGTTTTGGTTTGGTTTGTAATTTTTTTTTAATAAAACGTCGTCGTTTTTGGGCTCTGGAGGGGGCAAATCAGTGAACCGGATAAACCCCCTAAACCGGCGGTTTACCCGGTTTA